AATGTAGAAATTTGAACTATCCTCAAAAAATGTTTGCTCATATTGTGTGGATTTTAGGTAGTGAGTATCATAGTAAAGAAATAGATTTAGCAATTCAGGAAATTAATCAGTTAGAAAATGAAGAATCATTAATCAGCCTCAACAAGACAATCTCAACGAATAATGATAAATTGGAAATAACAGAAGACCCTACATCATGTAAAGATATTTTAAAAAATAGTCTATTTTATAAAGACTTTTTTAATATTAAATGTGAAATTGTCAAACATATGCCGAAGGAAGGATACAAAAATCCTTTCTTTAACCCGGCATTTTTAAATTACATTACAAACAGATACATTCTAATTATACCTTTGTGGTCAGGTCTAATGTTGGACAACGACAGAAAACATTTGTATTCAAATGCTGTTGTCGAATCTTATTTTAACACATTAAAGAACAATGTCTGCCATGGTGTTAAAAATATGAAGATGGGACGTTGTATAAACACAATTGAAGACTATATCGAGTATTGCAATAATGATTTAATAAATAGATCTCCTTTAATTCAGAAACCTAATTCTGAAACAAGTAACGAAAGTTATATTAGAAAAAAGAGAAGAAATAGAGGTCAGGAGGAGAAGGTAAGCAGGAAGAACAATATTAATCGTTTGAAAAAAAAGTAATACAAAGTCATTAAATGTAAATGAGGACCATGACATAACAACAGTAGATGTGAGAGATGCCATGGAAACATGGAACAAAAAATATAAAAGTTCAGTAAATTTTTATTTATGCAAGAAAAACACTTTTTCTTTAAATAAATGCTTGAACACGAATAACTCTGCCGACTCTGGTGCAGAATTAGTAATAGATTTGTATCATAACTGTGTAGCTAAAGATTTCAATTTCTACATAAAACTCTACTTATATGATAGGGATATCTGCCAATCATATCTTATAGGATTTTTGGGTAAATGTGCAATTAAATTGATTAATTTCTTCAGTTTGTATAAAAATGAGTAGTTAGATGATATAATCATCGACTCTCATTTAGCATTAATTGGTAATAATAACAAAAAATTCAAAATTTTTACTGTTTATGAATACAACCATATTATGTATATTAAAAATGATAACTTTGTTCTAGATTTATCATCAGGTATAAAGTATAGCGCCACATAATATTAATTCCCATTGGCTCTTAATCTTAATAGATACAGAAAAAAAACATTTCAGTGTCATTAATTCTTATACTGATGATTTTACCGATTTCAAAATTTTTAATCAATTTTGCAATAACTGTTTAACAAACACAGAAAAATTGTAATGGAATTTTCATAAAATAACTTCCCCTAAACAGTATGATGAACGTAGTTGTGGGCTTTTCACTATTAAAAATGCATTCTGTCTATTACAGAACATTGAATTAAATTATAAAATGGAACCTAGTACATACAGAGAATTAATGACTAACTTTTTAAAAAGTATCTCACCGGTACAAAACATTTGTTCAATTTGTACCTCTTCAAGCGATTCACTAACAGATCATCCTTCATATTATGCATGTATCAAATGCGATTCATGGTATAAACATGAACGAAATTCTGATTTATCACTAATTACATGCAAAAATAATTGTAATAAAAAATTTAAGTCTTCTAGTGATTCCTGGATAAGTTGTGGGATGTGTAGTCGCTGGCTACATTATGATTGCGATAAAAGTCAAGATTCAAAAATTCAAAATCTATATAGCCACGAGCTATAGGAAGTCCTGACTTTAAATATTTTTGTACTATTTGTGTACTGCACAAAATGCACAAAACTTATACAAAATTACAAATTAAATAAAATACTGTCAACCTAAGAAGTGGATTGCAAGTGGAAAGACAAAAGAGATTTTTCTCTTATTAAAGAGAGTCAAAATAATGTTTTCTGTTCTATAATCTTCTCTAACAAATACCCATTACTTTCAGAAGTAAATTCTCTATTTCTCTATTTCTCTGTCTCTCTATTCTCTATTTCATTTTAATATTGTAAATGAAATTAAAAACAGAGAATGCATAATGTCTTATAAAATATCCACTAAAGAGAAATAAAATTCTCTATTGAGAATGAGATATGAAATTCTAATATCTCATCTATTCAAAGACAGTATATAAATAAACAATCCACTTCTTAAAAAGATATTGCTATAGCAATATCTGCACACTGCACGTTGTTTAGCAGTTAAAATATTTTTGGCAACACAAGTTCAGAAACCTTCTCGTGGTTGTTGCTGTTACGGATGTTAGAATAATATATGACTTTGTTTTATGATTTACATTTGTTATATTTAATTCTATCATTCAACCGATGTCTGAACATGTAATGTAAGGATGTTAATATGAAATAAAGATTGTGTTTTTTAATAGACATTACATCTAAATTGAACGAGTTGAATCAAAATCTGCAAGGAGCAAACAAATTAATTACGAATAGCTACCAAGAAATGAAGACGTTCATTGCCAAGCTGAAGTTCTATCACAATGAATTAAAAAATAACAATGCTATCCATTTTCCGCACTTACATGATTTTGACATGAAAGATAAGCCTATTTCTGAATACTCAACAAATATTAAATATTTGCTTGAGGAATTTGAAAAAAGATTTGCTTATTTATCAAAATATGAGCACTTGTTCAATGTTTTCACATGCCCATTTATAATAGATATTAATTCAGTTCCAGAAAATCTACAATTGGAATTAATAGATCTGCAGTCAAACTCAGAATTTAAACTTAGGTTTGATAGCATGAATAATGTAGAGTTTTATAGCAAATTTATAACGGAAGATAAATTTCCTAATTTGAAGAAATTAGCCATGTGTGGAGTTATGCAACATATCTTTGTGAGTCATTTTTTTTCTAGATTAAAATTGGCCAAAAGCAAGGATCGTAACAGGCTCACCGATGAAAATTTGAGAAATCAGCTACGTTGTGCCACAACAAAATTAGAAGTCGATATTAAAAAAATTTCCAACGATATAAATAAGCAAATATCTCATTAGCAAATTATTGTATCATATTGAGTATATTTATATATAAGAAAACCATCAAATATAATAAGTTTCATATTTTATCTAATTGTGAGTTTTATTTATGCTTTTGTTTTTCAGTTGTTTTTTTTATGTTGGTTGCGGCCCAGTGCCTTGTACATTCCTGAATTTTGGCCCATAGAGTAATTTGGGTTGGACATGCATGCCATAGATAAAAAAAAATATTTAAAAGATAAAAGAATAAAAAAAGAATAGAAAAAGATGAAAAATAATTTAAAGATGAATCAAAAGAAGATAATTTAAAGATAAAGATAAAATAATTTAAAAGAATAAAAAAAAGATATAAGATAAAAGAAGCATGGAAGCATAATTGTTTAGTGTTATACTTGTTTATCTATGGCATTGTGAATATATAAATGAAGTTAAAAATACTATATTTCTTCTGTTTTGTTAAAAAATTAATTACAATTAAGTATAAGTACGTATGTATGTACGCAAGCGTTCTGTGTATTCATGTATGTATCATAGTAATAAGTAAAAATATGTAGATGTCTTAATGTAAGTCTGTTACATAAAATTTAGATTTATTTTTGTTATAATTGCTGTGATCTCTCATACCAGAACAATTGTCTGACTGAGATACAGTACGAATTATATCAAATAAATAAATGAATAAATAAATAAAAAAATTATAAAAAAAAGTTGATCAGATTTTACTATGAGATAAACAAGTATAGCCGAGCAGTTTTTTCGTAATTATTGAAAAAAAAGTTTTTTTAGTTTTAATGAACACCATAAATATTATAGGCTCACCAAAGGTAGTTTAGTTATAAAAATTTATTTAAATTATTTTGGGATGATCATGGGAAGTAAACTCGAGGTAAACATAGAACTAATGCGTTTTACTCTGTATAAGTATTTCAGCTTTTCACAGATGGCGCTAGTGTGCTTCAAATTCAGCGTTTGTTTTAAAACACGGTTTCTCGTATATAGTAAATGTACTTTAAACGTGTAAAGTGCCAATTTTATATATTGAATTATATCTTTTTTGAATAAAAAAATGTTTAATTTTTTCTTATATATTTTTTACAAAATATATTGGTGATTCTGTTGAAAATATATTTTATACGCTTATGTTTTGTTCTTATTTCATTTAGTCAAATTAATCACGAATATGTTTTCTATATTATATATTCAAATAAATCTTATCTAGAATTGAACCTAATGGGTAAATTTACGTGCTACGGTTTGTGGCGACATCTCTGGTATGCTGAAAGAATTGCGTCCACACCTAACAAACTAACGAACATCTCGAACAAGAAAATACAAAAAAGAACGAACAGGAATATGAACAAACGCAAATAATTTCAAACAAACGCCTCAAAGCAGTGAGGGCTTGGATCTTTTTGTTCGAGGATGTACCGTGAAACGTCAGATTTATTATTTAAAGTGGCGGGAAAGAGCAAAATTATTTAAAGTCATCAAATTTACAAAATTTCTTAATAAGCAATATCTTATAATAAACACAACATAAACTAATGCAGGACTGCACATTTTAACATCAAAAAAGAAAAATGTTTGTCTACATTCGTAGTAGAGTCAGAGTCCACACTGCACATATGAGTTCAAACATGAACGAGCAATTCCCTTTGATGCACCGACAAGTTGCGGAACATTGCTCGCCATGTTTGTTTATGTTCGTTCGTGTTCGTTCGATAGGTATGGAGCACCTTAATAATGTCAAAGCGGCTGTGTATGCCATCTATTTATACTTGTTTATCTATGCTCCACAAATAGCGAATATGTTTCTACTCTCTCTACTCAGTGCTACAAATAAACTCTACGCTTCAAATGTCAAATAATAAATGTAAAAGTTGAAATTATTTATCACATTGAAAAAAATATTGATAAATCCAGATGATTATTTAGCCCACAACTATTTTCGTAATTTTTTTGTGAGTATAAGCAGTGAAAATATTTAAAAATGTCGAAGGATACAATTATGTCTATGAATGGTCTGGCAGTTAAAATTGAACCACCAGAATATTCACCAGAAGACATTAAACTCGAAATAGAGGATGATTTTGATGATCCTAGCGTTATCGTTAAATCTGAATCGTGTTCTGAAGATGGTGATACGTGTTTAGAAAGATTTATGAATTCAGAGGTGACAATTGAAGAAGAAGTCAAACAGGAGTTAGTTGAGACAACAACTTATGAATGTGACGTTTGCAATAGATCATTTGCAGAATCTGATCATTTAAAAGAGCATATGGCCGATCATATTGCTAATAATAGCAAAGACTGTCATTTCAAATGCGAAATCTGTTACAAGACTTTTGATCGATTAAATAACCTGAAAAAACACATACTCATACACAGTGATGAGCGCCCCCACAAATGCAGTACGTGCAATAAGACATTCACACAATTATGTATTCTGAAAAATCACATGCTTATTCACAGTGGTGAGCGACCCCATCGATGCAGTATATGCAATAAGACTTTTATATATGTAGGTAATCTGAAAAGTCACATGCTTATTCACAGTGATGAGCGACCCCTCCATCATCGATGCAATATATGCAAAAAGACATTCATGCACACAGGTAATCTGAAAAGACACATGCTCATTCATAATGGAGTACGCCCCCATGCATGCAATATATGCAAAAAAACATTCACGCAATCAACCAATCTGAAGAGTCACATGCTGGTACACAGTGGAGCTCGTCCCCATGAATGCAACATATGCAATAAGACATTCACAAATTTAAGTAATCTGAGAAGTCACAAGCTGATACACAGTGGAGTACGTCCCCATGAATGCAATATATGCAAAAAGACATTTATGCGAACAGGTGATCTGAAAAAACACATGCTCTTTCATTATGGAGTACGCGCCCATGCATGCAATATATGCAAAAAAACATTTACACAATCAAGTGGTCTGAATAGTCACATGCTGAGACACAGTGAAGCACGTCCCCATGAATGCAACATATGCAACAAGACATTCACAAACTCAAATGATCTGCAACGTCACATGCTGATACACAGTGGAGTACGCCCACATGAATGTAATGTATGCAAAAAGTCATTCATGAGAACAGGTGATCTGAAAAAACACATGCTCATTCATAATGGAGTACGCCCCCATGCATGTAATATATGCAAAAAGACATTCACGCAATCAAGCACTCTGAAGACTCACATGCTGTTACACAGTGGAGCACGTACCCATGAATGCAATATATGCAAAAAGACATTCATGAGAACAGGTGATCTGAAAAAACACATGCTCATTCATAATGGAGTACGCCCCCATGCGTGCAATATATGCAAAAAAACATTCACGCAATCAAGCGGTCTGAAGAGTCACATGCTGATACACAGTGGGGCACGTCCCCATGAATGCAACATATGCAATAAGACATTTATGCGATCAGATAGTCTGAAAAGACACATGCTGATACAATGCGGAGTACGCCCGCATGAATGCAATAAGACTTCTGAAAATGCACATGCTGATTCATAAACAAGAGTCTTTATAAATATGAAGTATGTAATAAGGAATTTACTCAATCGAATGATTTGAAAAGACACATGGCACTTCATAGTCAGAATTGTGGTGAAAATCAATGAACAATAAGCATATTTGTTTACTTAAATTTAAATATTTGGAAACATGTTGTAAACTTTTCTTGCATGTAATGATATGTATAAATAGTATGAAATATACAGTAAACACTACATAATATTTATATTATATTTTTTATAATTTTTGAAGTAAAACTTTTTTAGGCGCGACTAGGGTGTACATCCGTACAAATGCAACGGAAGTGCGTTACGACATAATTACTATTGATATGCTTATCAGCTTATATTCTATATTCCGATGCTAAATGTATACTGACAAATGGCAGATCAGGATCAATCCGCAAAAGACGGAGACAATTTTATTTACAAAGAGCCGGAATGCCACGACTATACTGACTGAATTGGACAAAATAAATGTATTTGACTGTGAAGTTGAGTGGTTTAAGGATGTCAAATACCTTGGTTTGACCCTGGAGCATAGACTCAGCTTCACGAAACATATTAATACGAAAATTGGAGAGGCTTACCGGATGTTAAATCTACAGAGACCTCTCTTGAACCACAACAGCACGCTAAGCGTGAAGAACAAGCGGACACTCTACTTGACACTAATAAGACCGTTACTGCTATACGCCGCTCCAGCATGGAACGCGACGACTAAGACGAACTTACAAAAAATGCAGACAGTGCAAAATAAGACACTACGACTAGTACTCAACAAAATAAGGGACCGACTAACTGGAAATTACTACTCTACAAAATACAGATATGATTAGACTGACGTACCGAAAATACTCGGTCATATCATAAAGCTCACTGAATTTTTTTATCACAAATGTGGGGATCACCCTAATATTAACATCGCGGGTCTCGATGGCAAAACGCCATGCCAAACTATATACTGATCGACCCACAGCAGCAGATGATAGTTGGCTCGTTACCGATTTTTCTTCAGAGCGAATAAATCTTTTGTTTTGTTTTTCTTTATTTGTATAATCATTTATTACTATAAATATTGTTATGTGACTTTTTTTGGAAAAATTTTTGTTTCCTCCTTTTTGTCACACAATTGTATCACACCTTTTATATTTAACCATTTAAGCGACTCGAACAAGACCCTCTCGCGCGTTTAATGTGTTCCGATTTGCTCTCGCCACATATAAATATTCGGTTTTCACTTGGAACGTTTTGTTGTCCCGAGTATATCTCGCCTCTTTATTAACATATTATCTTCAAATTTTTATCTAAAGAGATAATTTTTAGCCTTTTTGTATTTGATATATATATGAATGTAAGCATAACAATGCTTTTTATAGTCTATAAAAATATCGATTGTTATTATTTCATAGAGCTTGTAAGTTTGTACTTTTAAGTGGATAATTATTATACAATTGTTCAAAAGTAGGATTTGTTAATTTTTGCGACCTGACGTATTTTTGTTTGCCGTGAATGGTTTATATTTTTTTTTTGATTAACTTCCCGAAGGAGAAGTTTGTTTTCATCAAAAAATCCGAATCGCTAATTTTATGTTTTCTCGACGTTTCAAGCCATTCTGAATCGAATGAGACCAAATTTGGAAAAAGTATGTGTCTGTGTGTGTGAACAGATTTTTGCCGTAAATCGACGTTTTCTCAAAAACGGCTGGCCCGATTACAAAAATTTAAAAGCCATTCAATGTATCTTGATTAGAACTATTGTTTGTCAGTTTTGTGCGACGATTGGCCAAGCCGTTTCTTTATAAATCGCAGAAAATTGAAAAAAATTTCGTCTGCGTTTTACCCCGCAATTCTGAATCGATTTTGAAAATTCAAAAACCGTTCGAAAGATATTGATTGGGAATCGTGCTGATTAGTTTTTGGTAGAGGCCGGGCCGTTTTCTTGTAATAACGTGTTAAAAATTTTTTTTCGTCGATTTTTATTATAATTTTTTTGACGATAGATACCATAATTTTTTGATCATACTAAAATATTACGGCCCTGCGACAACTGGTTTAGCTTTAAAAATTCGCCAAAGTTTGCAAAAATTAGTATGTTTCTTTTGGCATTTGTCAAAATTAGACCTTTCATCGACGTTTTCTCAAAAACGCCTGAACCGATTTCAGCAATTTAAAAGCCATTTGATGTATTTCGATGACGACTATCGTTTGTCAGTTTTGTGCGACGATCTGCCAAGCCGTTTCTTTGTAATTTGAAAAAAGTGTTAAACTTTTCGTCCATATTTAAGCTCATCCTACCGAACCTACTTTAAAAAATCAAAAACTGTTCGAAAGATATTAGTTGGGAATAATACTGATTAGATTTAGGTGAAAATCTACCGAGCCGTTTTCTTGTAATTAAGTGTTGAAAAAAAAATTTAAGCTTATTGTTATGGATTTTTTTTAGCAATATATATCATAGAACCCATATAGAAACTTACTGTAATATTACGGCCTTGCGACAAGTAGTTCAATTTTAAAAATTCATCAAAGTTTGAGAAAATGAGTAGTTTTTTTGACATTATCTAAAATTAAAATTAGACGATTTACTTGGTATATCGATGAAGTACTTGGTGTTAATGAACATACTAAACCATTAAAATCCTACGGAAACTGGTTCAAATATAATAATTGTTGATTTTTGAAAAGTTGCTTTTTGAAAATACTCCGAGTTAACGTGTTCGTTCGTTTTCAATTATGTGTAATAAATCCACTCATAAATTAATTTATTTTTTATTGATTAAGTCGATTATTTACACATATCGGAAAGTTCGTGTAACTTGCCTCAAGGCTAAATACCAATACCAACTAGTTTTTCATTTTTTTTAAATATGTTTTTTTAACTTCCCGTAGGGTAAGTTATTGTAATGGGCCGAAATCGGAATTAAAATTTTTTACATTTCTCGACGTTCTGAAGGTTTCTGAACATTTTGGCATACTTCAGAAAAAATGGATGTGTGTGTGTGTGTTGGAAAAAAAAATTGAGACAATTTTTTTTTCCAAAATCAATTACTTTGTTAAGACAAGCAGAAAGTTCTTTGAATCAATTAAATCGGACGCTTAGTTCTCTCAAAAACTGCCGTTTTTTGTACATTTAGCTACGTATCTTCGAAATGGCTGGGCCTGCCTTTGCGAAAAACTAATAACCACTTCTCCCAATTATTGCTAATTGAATGTTTTTTAAATCATTCAAATCGGATGCTCCGTTCTCTCAAAAACTCGATTTCTATGCTCTGCACTCTTTGCTCTCTATCTCCGTAACTGCAGGACCTGCCTTTGCCAAAAACTAATCAGCACATCTCCTTATCAATAGGAATCGAATGTATTTTGAACCATTCAAATCGGTTGATCCGTACGCCCGAAAACGTGGGCGAAAAATTGTATCCATACATACATACACACACACACACACAGACACACATCCATTTTTTCTGAAGTATGCCAAAATGTTCAGAAACCTTCAAAACGTCGAGAAATGTAAAAATTTTCAATTCCGATTTTCGGCCCATTACAATAAAAGTAATTATTACCTTAAGTAATCCTACGGGAAGTTAAAAAAACGTGCTTATTTTTAAAATACTATAATTATAGTATTGATAGAACAGATATGAGGGACGATATACCTGCGGGTAGAAATCCAAACAAAATTGGAAGTGTTACGTACACATTCATAATTATTCAAATGTATGTATATACATTTCTTAGTACCAATTTTATATATTGAAATGTTCAATTAAAAAATGTTTAATTTTTTCTCTTATATATTTTTCATGTTTTTCACAACATTTTGTAATTTGAGAATATATTTTTGCGCGTATAATTTGTTCTCATTTCATTTAGTCAAATTAATCAGATTTATTTCTTCTGTATCAGATATCTTATCTAAAATTAAACATAAGGGTAAATTTACGTGCTACGGTTAGCGGCGACATCTATGATATGCTGAAAGATTTAAAATCGATGTAATTTCAAAGCGGCCGTGTTTGCCATCTATTTATACTTGTTTATCTATTCTATGGGAATAATCATCACCACTTGAAGAATTTCTAAACCTCATTCTCATTGTCTAGGTCGTTTATTTGAAACTTGGGAAGTTTTTGCATCTTGCCGTAAGGCAAAAGCAATTTGCAACGAGTTAACCCGTCTTTATTGTAAGTCGATAATATTTTAGAATGTTTGTTCAGATCAGAAAGCTCCTCCAGAGCAGAGATTCATTAAAACAAATTATAGAA